CAAGAAAAAGATAATTAAGAACAATCCACTGGACTTTGTTTCCAAGTTTGAAGATGTTTTTCCTCTCATCCAAGAAGCTTTTTCGATTCAAAATAAAAACCTTGAACTTGATGCTATTCCTGAGATTTTGAATTGAAAAAGCTTATCGGATGAGAAGTGTAACATCTTCAAACTTGCAAACAAAGTCCAGTGGATTGTTTTTTATTTCCTTTTTTTGGAATCTTAACAGCTCAACCAATCCGGTTTCCATCCCATTTCTAGCATTTTAACTTTTCATGTTCTAGGTTAGTGTCCTTTTAGGACAGTATGACGGCCATTCTGGTAGGTGTACCCTCCTCTTCCTCAGTCAAGAGCTGTGATACACGCCTATATCATGAACCAATCACAGAGCCTGGTAGCAGTGTATGGTCCGTTTCTCTTTTTGACTCACTTGACTCTTTTAGACATTCCCATTTTTTGGGGTAATATCAACCTGCTGAATGAATCTGAAGAGCTGAAGTGGCAAATTAATGGGTCAGTTTTAGAGCAATACATGTAAAATTTCTCATAAATATTTCACTATACTACAAAGATTTTATTTTATTTTTCTTTGTTTCTTTTGTTACGATAAATACTACAGAATGCTGCTTTTCTTTTTGATCCTCACCCCAAAAAAGATCTCATTTCCATGACTTTGATTTTGAAAAACCAAAGACCCAAAACTTAGCAATCAATCCTGATATTTGAGTAGCTTTCCCTGTGTACCTGGTTTATTCTTGTTATCTTTATATGAATATAGACAATTCAGTCTATATTGACATGTGCTCTCCATTATCTATAATATGCACTTGGTGTGGATAATGTCTGTTCTGTACCAGACTTAATATTTCAGTTTTGATTTGGCCTCTGAGTTGCAATCATGCACATGTTCTGTAACTCTCTACTTTGCTTGTACTCTCATGTTTTGTTCCTAAAGTTCAGTAAATCCCTTGTGGCTCCATGTTTGACCTACTTCGGTGTACTGTTGAAAACGCCTCGGGAATGCAACATAGAAACGGCTATGACTCATTTGTGTTGTCATTTGTCTGAGACCTGGTTTAAACCGACCGCATACACAGAGTTAAGTTTATCCAATAATCCTTGCTTTAGGTTTAGGAAACAAACAGTTGGCTTGTACAAAAAAAAAGCTCCCAGTTGGTTTTCCTCCTCCTCTCTGAACATGCTTTATAATTCATTGGAAGAGTTTTGCTCTTGGCATGACGCTCGTTCTCCCTGCCACCTTATGTTCACACATATGGCCCCTCCGCTCGCCTTAGTAGCAGCTAACCGAGTTTCAGCCGCCGACTGGACGGTGAGTTTGTACTGTGATTGATTGCTCTTCTTGCTCTGGACGATTCTGCAGCTTTGCGTCTCGTTCAGACCGCAGCACAGCTAATTACAGGAGTAATTAAGAGGGGAAAGGCAGATTAATCCGAATTCATTTGAAAGATTTTTGGAGGTAGCACAGATTGTGCACCTGCAGAGGTCACCGCTTTGAAACGTATCCATAAGCAGCCGATAATAAGGTCGGAAAAACCAAAAAGACCTCGACTCCTTCTCTGGGACAGACTCCCTCAGATGCTATAAAAGAACAATAAGGACGTCTCTCCTCCAACGGAAGGAGTAATCTGTTTACAGTAAAGCTGTCTGCGTGAGAGAGCCGTCTAAATACCTCAGATGTGTCTAATCTCTGTGCTAAACATCCAAATCTTGTTGTAAAGGTAAACACAGCATAATCCTGGTTTACTCTGGAGACTACACTGGGAATGCATCATCCAACCCGCTCTCTGCTCTGTGTGTGGAATGTGTAAAGAGGAGAAGACTGCATATCCCGGGAAGGTTACCGTGTTTAGAAACCCTCCCTCTGTTTGAGAAGCGGCTCTGCCAATAATAGAGGCGTCAGCTGCGACTTTGAGACACTGTTGGTGGTCATCAGGGTGAAGACTGACCCGGCAGAAATCTACAGCTCTGATGTTGGCAGGACGTCTGTCTGTCTGATTGGCCTCCATGCGGGAATGCTGTCACTATAATTGGCCCCTGAGTGGTGTTTCTCCGCTTTTCATTGGACGCTGAGGGAAATTCCAGCAGCAGATTTTTGTTACAGGTCCAGACAGGAACTTTCACACCTACTGGATCCTGTTAATGTACTGTATCTGAGTGAGACTGAAAGCAGACAGGGCTCAGCTGGGAATGGAGTGTTTTTGATGATACCACTAAAGTATTCCTTAAACATCTCCAGACTGACTCACAGGACTTTTCATTTGACCTTTAATGTCGGAGATGTCTCTCTTTGACTTGTCGATCCATTTTGATCAAGTTCAGAACTTTATGCAGGGTTAGAACTTGCCTCAGTATTTATTTTAGCATTGTCTACAAGGATTAAAAATGTATGAGTGCATTAAATTGAATAGCAAAATCAAAACACTTTTGTGTCCATTTAAAGCAAAACTCAATAACATTTTTTTCCTTAATATAGCCTATTTTAAGTCACTTTGATGGTAGATATGAATAGACATATATCTTTTCTTTTTTTCTGTGTTTTTATTGTCATAAGTGCAATGAAATTCATTCTCTGCATTTAACCCATCCCCTTGGGAAGCTGTGGGCTGCCATTTGCGGCGCCTAGGGAGCAGTGTGGGGTTAAGGGCCTTTTGCTAAGGGAGCCACAGCGGCAGTCTGTGGGAGTGGGTTTCAAACTCTCAACCCTAGGATTCCAAGCCCTATGCCCTAACCACTAGGCCACCACTCCCCCTCTATTCCATGCCTGTTTATCTTTAATCTTTGATTAAAAGGCTGAAAAGGATGAGTATCCATCAGTAAACCTTTGCAAAGTCCTCATGACTTGCAGTGGTGACCCCTAAAGAAGGAAGCAATGGAAAGGAAACATTCTTCTAATTTTGATTACAGCCCACAGATAATTGAAACACAGAATGCAGCTTTATTAGAAAGGTTTTTAAAGAGGGGTCTACTGTGAATAACAATATTGTGCTCTGATTAATATATGTGTATATACTTAGCCCGCTTGTTTCTGACATATGAGTCATTAAAGCCTAAGGAGGCTCCCTAACCACTGTTATTCTTTGCTGTAATTTTTGCTCATGGGCTCATCTGGATTACTGCACACCACAAACTACCAGATCCTTTACAGTTGGAGCCTCAAACCTCCACTTAGGAGTGAAGCACATCCCAAAGAGCTGCGACTTTATGGGAGGAAATTGATCTCCCTGAACTCTCCATAAGTCCTTGCTTAAGACTTATGATGACTTTAGCTGTTAAAGTGTTCATAATTACTAAAATGATTAATGCCACATTGAGTGCAATGGTTATTTTTGTTTTATTTGATGGTTGGGAGTGTTGGTATGCATAAAGACAGTCTGGGTTTGTCTTTGATCTGGCGCCATGCAGCAGCTGCCCCGTTATTCTCACCAAATAGGAAATGCATCTGAAGAGTTCTATCTTTAGAACCACTGAGCAGTTTTCACATAGTGTTCCTTAACCAACGCCCGGTAACGCCCCCATCCCATCGGCCCCGTCCATCCTGGGTTCAGTGGCAGACACCCCAAGTTATCACATTACTATTTATTAATTTTTTTAAATGGAACAGATTCGAATCTTCTGCAGTAAAGTAGATTTTCTGTTGTTTCTGTTTCCAATTTTTTTTTCTTTATGCAGTCCGTTACAGCATAAAAAAAAAAAAAAAAAGTCGGGATAATCTAGCCCCAGATCAACTGACAGGTATGGGTGAATTTAAGAGTAATGGTTTTAAATTAGTCATTTTTGTGGCTGATGCGGTGGCATTTGTTCGGATGCAGAACCACAAATCCACAGCTGTGAACACTTGAAGGCTGCATTAATCTATGAAGAGTCTGTGCTGAAAAATAGGATGTTTTACAAGTTCCTATTGTAAACTGTGTTCATCTGTGACCTAATGATGGCTTCTGTGTTGGAAACGTACATTAGAACAGCATACTTGCCTTCTTCAGGTATGCTTTTTTTTTTGAGTTGCTGCTGCAGCTCGATGACCCCTTTCATAGTGACACTCCCTCACCATCATCAAACCTTTTGTCACGCGGTGAATGGTAGACCTGTGCTTCTGATGGGTGAATGGGTGCCAGGAGGAAAATAAAACTGCCTTGAAGGCTTCATGGATCTGACTGAGGGCGGATCTGAAGCCTCTGGAGGGATGACAGGAAGAAGTCAGGCAACAAGAGAAGCCGTGCAGAATGAGAGAAGGAAAGATGGAATTAGGTGGCAGGTTAAAGAAGTGTGTAAAAAAACAAAATTCACCAGAGTGAGTGCAAATCTTATCTTTCACTAATAGAAAATGGTTCTGCTGCAGCTTCAGCGGGTTTAAAAGCAAAGGTCGGTCCAGCAGTTGGTGGCAGCTTTATTCAATTGGTCTGAAGCTACCTGGGAGACTGAGTTGTTGACACTCAGAGACTCCTGCAGAGATTCTGCTTTCCCTGACGGGACAAAGTGGATTCCCAGCGGGACTTTCCTCATTTCCCATCCGTCCTTTTTTTTCCCCCACTTTCCTTTCTTTGCTTTCTTTCTCTTCATTCCTGAGGCCTTTTGTTCCAATACATATTCAGTAGGGAGGGGGTCTGAGTTCAGGCCTGCAACACACACCTCCACACACTCAGTTTGACCTCTCTCACAAAGGAGAAGGCATGCATTCATTAGGAATCCCCCGGAAAGCTGTGACCGGTTAGGCATTGTTGCTGAAATCACCTTCGCCTCCCCCTCCCTCATCTCTCCATCTTTCATCTTTTGCCTTCACTTTTATGCCCCAAAGCGGAGCCATTGATGAGCTGAGAACAGAGCTAATCAGATTACTCCCTCAGCGCTGATATTAGGATTTTTTTTTCAAATCAACAATGAGCTTTATGTGGCTTGAATTAGACTGAGGAGTTGGCTTTTGATGGTGTGTAGAATGTTCCCTTTTCTCACCTGTTTTCTTCTATTCATTTGTCTCCTAACAGATCTCGAAGTTGTCCGGCCCAATGGGACTCCCTGAGCTGTGAGGGACGCTCAAGAAACGAGCAAAGTTAGAGGACTAAAGCGGGTGGAGGAGGCGGGGCAGAAGAAGGCGCCAGGCGAGGAGAGGTTTTAAAAGAAGGATTTGGTCAATCTGTTGGGGGTGCATGCCCCCTCGAGACCTTTCCCTCCTTCTTGAACATCCTCCTTTTTGCTGGTTTCTGCATCACTGACAAGCAAACAAAAGGCCAAGAATGTTCAGTAAACGGAGTGTGGGCTGGCTGAGAGCTAGCAGGGGCCTCAGCGGGACTTCGTCAAGGACTAGAGTCTGGCTACTGGGTTTGGTTTTCACTGCGATCAGTTGGATTCCCCTACCGGCCAGCGCAGAAGTAGAGATTGACATGCTGGGAGGAATGGTGTTGTTGGACGCTGGTGGAGAGGGTGAGGAGTTGGGAGGAGGCGGGAGTGAGCTGGAAGCCTCCATGCACTCGTCGCTGCTTCGTGACTTCCAGGAAGTGGCGGAGAGCCTCCGGGTGATGGACGTTGGGGAAATGGCAGCAGCACGGCAGGAAACGGCGACTCCCACGGCTTTCCCAGACTCCTCAGCGGTGGTTGGCCGGGTTTTCCAGATCAAGGTGCCAAACAAGATGGAGGATGCTTACCTGGGAGATATCATAAAGGTGAGTAGGCTCCATGTTTTCCACTTTAGGTGATTCTGGGTTAAGACTTCAAACCAAACTCTACATCAAAATTAGGAATGTAAACAAATAGTCGAATTCAGATTAATAGTTGATTAACGGTTTGTGAGATTAAGATTGTTCCATCTCTTAACTGCTAACATCCCAATGTCAAAGTCACCCGACTTGCACACAGTAGAACCCACTTCGATTCCCTGCTGGGGGGCATGAGTGTAGTTCTTTAGGTATGATCCTTCACATTAATGCAACCTACTTTGTAAGTTGCTTTGGATAAAAGAATCTGCTATAAACATAAACACATGAACAATAAAAGGAATTTCTTTGAGTGTTGTAGTGTTACTGACGTCCACCAGAGGGCAACTTGTCATACTGCTCGCAAGAAAAGTATTGCCATAGAGTACAAACATGAATCCACTCTGGTCCACAATTATTGAGTGTTTCAGATGATGAAAATGTGCAGAAATTACTCTTACCTAGTTCTTTTTGTAAATTTAAACACTGAACAAATTGTTTACTTTATCATCTAAATACCACCCATTTAGTGGTGTTACGTGAGGAGCAGCATAACTTCTCTGCTGTGCTCGAAAGGTGAGGATGTGATGATGGAAAAGTGGAGGGGATTATGCAAAAAAATGTATTATAATATACAACATGAGCAAGTAGTGTAAATCAAGGAGGCTTTCATTCATTAATGCACCTCATGTAGTCAAGTTTTAATGTTCTTTAAGTAGCCACAATAACCTGTTCAATAGTGCTACTGTAGTAACAGCACAAAGTCTCATCAGATTATTGGGCAACACTAAAACCAGAACAAAACCACCACTGAAGCAAGACAACATTATAGACTGACAGTATGTCAAAGCGTCATACCCTGTCTGTTGATGAAAATCACAAATATTTCACATATTTTTGCCCGTAGGCAGCTGGAGATGGGCACCAGCACCCCTCGCGACCCCACTTGGGATAAGAGTGATGGAGAATGGATGGAATTCACATATTTTATTAATCTTTTTTAATTTAATAAACTAATATATCCCTGTTTGTTGTATAATTATTAATAATTTTAACAAACTCTATTTTTTTTTGTTAATTCAGTCATTATCTAACACAGCTTACAAAATAAATGTGTAAAAATTGTTAGCTTTATTTAACTTGGCATATAGTCAAAAGAAAACAAAAACATATATATATATATATATATATATATATATTTGTTTTTTCATTTGATCTATAATATCATCGAAAGATTTTCTTGATACAAGGAAAAAACTATTTTTTTTTTAAAAGTGTCACTTGTAGATCTTATGATGAATTCATTAATTAATAATTTGCATCATTATTTCAATATTAAACAATGACTTTATCAGTTGCCTTGTATCATACACTGGTTAACCTTAATTTTAAAGAAATTCTGGTTGAAAGTATTTAATACTGCGTAGTCACTTGTAACCCTTAACCTACAACTGTGACAGGTTTTGCTGATGTTTTTAACATCCTGAGTTGGACGGGATGAAGTTTAACTTGGTTTACACTCCAATCAGGAAGCCATGAACTCTTGATAGATTTTCAGAAGCATGAAAAACAAAGTAAACTCTGCAAACTGAGAAGTTGAGCTTCTCAGTTTCCCCACAGCACTGCCAGTACGTCTCCCTGGAGTCTCTGTTAACCTAAAAAGTCTCTCTTCTCTCTCATATCTGTGATTAAGAGGGCGTCCAGGTAACGGTGGGCGCGGCCTCTGCAGTAACTTCAAGCCTCCAAAGTAATTCTAAATTTGGAGCCTGTGAAACATCAGAATTTTTTTAATTTGGATGTTAAACTCTGGATCAGGGACTAAACAGGAAGTTTTTCCTCACAGGGCTCAACAGTCTAGATGCTCAGACCTCTGCTGAAGGGCTCTTTGGTTCTTGTTGATTGGTCTCACTGCTATTTGCAGTGGCTGCTGCACCTGCTGCTGGATGACTTTTAGGCACCTCAGATTGAAATGCTGTGCAGACGGACAGATTGTCATCTGCTCATCCATCAATAGCTGCCGAAGGGAGACACTGATATCCTTCTCTGGCCGATGACCTTCTCCAGCCTTGTGTGGAGTAAACCAAGACACTGTCCAGTAGAGATGCCCAGCTTCTGGTTTAAATCAATAGTCCATTGAGTTTTGAGGAGCAGCATCTCTATGCGCTTCATGGCTTGTTTCTGAGGAAGCAACTTCACAGAGGAAGGTTATAGTCGCTGCTTGTATCCAGAATCGTCTTTCCATCTAATCAATATCTCTTGATCATGGGCGAAGATACTGAGGCTGCAAGATCTGCTTTTCATTAGATAGTTACGAAAAATAAAAGTTGACGCAAACTTGTGTCATAGAGCATTTGTTTTCCACCCTAGTGTGAACATTTCAGTCATTTTGAGATTTATTTTCTGATAATTGTTTGATTAAAATGTGTTCTATGCGATTAACCGAGAACATCCGCTTAGATGGACAGTTTTTAAGTGATGTAGTGTGGTTGTCATCCAGAAGAGGGTGCTGCTGTTCATTCTCAACTGGAGCCGGATCGTTTTAGCCAGATCGTCCCAGAGGTCCTCTGGAAAAGAAACCTCGCAGCTTTGTTCATGGAGGATTAAAAGTGTAACCTCATAGGTTACATTTTTATTATGTTTTGGAACTATGTCTAATTGAAATAAGGTTTAAAAACCACAATATCTCCGTTTCAACATAAGACAGAACAAGAGCATAATCACAACACACTGATATGGTCTCTTTTTAATATTTTAGTTTGAATCGGTATGTTTATTTGATTTTTGGAAGCTAAAAAAATATTTGAAATGTTAAACATATTCCTTTATTTTAAAATTCAAATCATGCTTTTTTTTTTTTTTTTGTAAGGTTGTTTAATAAAAGACTGTGCTAGCGAGGCAAGTGAGGGACCTTTTCAGGCGTGTCAACTAATGGAGTTGAAATATTTATTCAAGGGATTGAAATGTCATTTTTAATCCCAAAATTTGATGAGGGAGATATGGAAAACCATTTGGGATTAGTCGACTGATCAAGAAATTATAATGGATTAGTGAACTATAGAAGTAGTCATTAGTTGGAGCCCTAGGTAGAACGATGGATTACTGAGTGAGGAAAAAGGGAAACAGAAGAGTTCTCAATCCGTTAGTTTATCTTTTGCTCCACTCTTGAACTGATCTTTAATTCGTTGCTGATGGAGGAATCATCCAGTTCTCTCCGGTAGTATCTGGAAGAAGAAGTCAGTTTGCATCTTATTTTGGATAAAACTAGGGCTGCAACTAATGATTATTTAGCAAATCAGTCAATCTATTAATAATCAAAAGAAATTATCTTTTACGAAGAAATCTTTTATGAAATCAAACCAGGTGAAAGTAAAAGTTTACCACTTAATGGAGCATATTGGCAGACGAAAACATTTACTCATTCCTAAATCCAAAATTTTTATATATATATATTTTTTTTTTTACAATTTTTGTAGTGTTGTAACGATACCATTCTTTGGCCCCGATAATGATACCCAACTGTGCAGTATTCGGTGATACCATACCGATACCATCTGTTTGAATTTGATGTGTGTATATATGAAGAACTGCAGACTACTTTGATGTAAAATAATTGCCATCATGGTTTTTTCAAGCTGCTGCAGTGCCTACCATTGTGAAGCAGGAAAAAGACTAATACAAAGTGAATCCAGTAGAACCTTTTATTGCCTACCTGGAATGGGTGACAATAGTTAAATAAAGTTTTGGCTCTCAAAATGGTATTTGCTGGTACTCGCCGATACAGATGCCATCATTTTAGTGCTGGATCGGAGCCCCGCCCGATATTGGAATTGGTGCAACGCTACAATTTTGATATAATTACTGCCCTAAGTGGGTCACTCTGTCAGTTAAAAGCATGTTTTACAGTCTCTATACTGCAGTTACTGATTGATCGATTACTAAATTAGTTGACTGTTAATCACGATTAATCAGATTGTTTCAGCCCTAGATGAAGCTTCTTTGATTAAGAAAACTTGGTGACTCCACATGAACTTATAATACATCTAAAAGGAAACCATTTGTCTGACTGATGTATTTGAGAAATAACAGCAGCTTCAGTACCTGCCTCCAGGAGACGCCTAGTTGCAATAGTTCTGAGGAAAATCTCATATTTAATTGAAGCACATTTTCTGCAATAGCCGATTTTTCTAATGGATGCTCTGAGGAGGAGACATTAGGTCCTCCGTCTCCTGCAGCTGAAGCACATTTCATCCACCCCAATCTAATTGTTTCAACCCCTGGTGTTGGTTACCTCCTCTGTCCTGCTGCTCATCTGTTCCCCTTTCATAACCTCCTACCATTTATTGCTGCTTTCATCTTCCCCAATGTCTCCCATCCCCTTCTTTTCTTTCCCTGTGTCACATCACATCAGATCATATCAATGTTTCCACCACCATGAGCAGCGTGAACAGCAGCTCGTATTTCTAACGGCTCTAATGAAGCCCTGCACACACACCCACACACACACAGGAGGAAAGCTGTTTGTCCCAGCAGCACACAAACGTTACATCAGACAGAAGCTGCAGGGAGGTTTGAAAGTTTTCTTCTTTTTGCTTTGTTATCCTGCCACTCATCATTCGTTCCAGGGGCCCAGGGAGGTCTCCGTGTTTGGAAGAAACCCTCCTTTCTTTAAGTGAAAGGTTACAGGTTAGACTCTATCTTGTGGCAGAGAACCGGGAGCAGTTTGTTCTAGATTTATATATTTTTCCTTCCTCCTGCTGCTGCTGCTGCTGCACCTCCTCATCCTGTATAACAAATCTGCAGCCCTTCCTGTGAATCTCCTTCCCACCACATGTGAATTCCCCCCTCCCCCCTCCCTCTGTTATTTTTGAAGGTCGGCGGTGCTGAAGGTTTCAGAGCAAAAGGCCAAATCAATTTCTCAGCTCGCCGTTGCTCTCACACTAGCTGTCCTTTCTTATGAAAATCTGCCTCAG